GCAGGCAACCACCACCAGGGACCACCAAAAGCCTAACCTGAGCCAGCTGAGGCCTTTTATACTGCACCTAGGCAGGGGGAGGAGCTAGGGGAGGAGTTTTGCTGACTACCTCACTGTGGTTCCCTACACATACAGAGAAACAATAACAACTGAAGGAACAGATAACTATTTGCCCTGGGGTGCATTTTTGTTTTTCTAACCCTAACCCATGGCATTGCAAGTTCACCTTTCAGTTCGACTTATTTGAAAGACAATGTTACACTCAGATATGTAGACAGTACGTGACAGAGGGAAAGAGACAAATAAATGTTTTAAAATCTTTGTTACAATTTAATCTCTGATTAGATTTGCATAGTGGCATGTGAGTGAATTCTAAAAAAATTGCTTTGGTATTCAGTAAATATATGAGTTGCACTATTTGACTATTTTCACAGTTCAAAAAGCATTTTAGCAATATGCTGAAATTGCTTTCTCAGGTTAGAACTGACACCTGCTGTGTTAAGGACTCAACCATAGTACATGGGACACATGCTCCAGGAGCTACCACACCCAAATAATCAAACTTCAATCAAACAGTGTACAGTAGAGGATAAGTCATATTAATTGAATGTAAATCAAAAACAGTAGCTCCTTGTGCAACAACTGTGGCAGAGAGAATGAACCATGTACCCAGCTGATCAAGGCCATAAACACAGGATTGTAGATAACATACTCTTTATTTTACATAGACAAAAAAAAAGCAAAGCAAAGTGAACAACACTGAAGACATGTAAAACTAGCTGGTCTCCCTTTTTAAGACTGTAACCTACTACTCACATAAGATGCAGTTATGTAGACAAACAGGACAGCTAACAAGACATACAAGAAAGGTTGTATGCATGAGAGTGCTACTTCATGAGGTGTAGTGTGTGCAGACTATTTGCATATGAGAGATCCTACCGGAGCACAGTATAGGCAGCAGTTTTATTCTGAAGATAAAATAACCACGCTTAGTTCTTTCATTTCGTTGCAGTGGAAGGATTATCCAACACTTTAAAGGTAAGTGTCTGACTTCTTTGTTGTTACTGTGAACAATATTATCAGTATTATTTGATACTTGAAAAACAACATCAGTGTGTAGGTAGTGAATAAGAAAAGTGCTACAAAAAATAAAAAACAAAAGGCCAAATTAATTTATTGCAGTTTAAACTCCAATTTGTATATATAGTGTGCCTGTGTGTTATGCTAAATGAAGATTGGAGTCAGTGAAGAAAAGTTTTGTAGTGTTGTACTATTTACCATAATAGCTTTTTATGTTTTCTGATCTAAAACGAAAACATCAATCATCATCTATGGAGCTAAATTATTCCTTCTCTCACTCATGTCTCACCACTGAATGTGCACACATGTACGGAACATTGAATAAAATGTCAAATCACCTTGTTTTGTTTAAAAGTTGACCTCTGTGCCAATCATGAGGAAAATGCAAACCCTGTTGAGGATTTTGGCTGTGTTACTGGGCATCAGTGTCATCTGGAATTTGACAAATTTCATTCTGGTCTGTACCTTCATTCATTCATTCATTCATTCAGATAACCTGATCCTGAGCTAGTGAGAAGTAGTGAATAACCCTTCATGTGTAGTGTAAGGCTGAACATTGCTAATATAATGGACTCACAATGCATCATGTAAAGCATCAGTTAATTACTGTAAATGATGTCACCCCTGTTTTCCTTATTATTACTTAATGCTCTGTCTTGCCTTTAAAAACTGCTTATAGAGAAATGATGACCAGGGGAACATCAGTGTGATGTGTCATGACAAACTGAAGCAGCATGAGAAAGTGCGGATGGAAACAAACAGGTCTGAAGGTGAGAAAGAAAAGAGCGCAGAGATAATGAGGACTAAAGAAAAAAAGGGAGATAAAGGGAGGGGGCAGATAGTGCAGAAGTACAGTTTCTCACACAGCCATTCAACAGTTGTACTTATCCAAGGATGTTATAGTGCTTTTATTTAAATATGTTTGCACCACCAATGGAGCTCATTTGAATAAGCAAAAATGAAGGGAAACAAGTTGGGCTGTTTCCTGATCTGACTCCGCTACAGTGGGGGAGGACCGAAACAGAACAGCTATTTATGAGAGGGTTTATGGGAAGTAAAATGGAGGGTGAAATTAAGTGAATAAAATGCTGTGTATTTGAGGTGGTGGAAACATCATTCAGCTGTTTGTGAAAAATTATTTTTCTCAACCATGTTCTGTCCTCTCTCTTATTTGACTCCCTTTTTCACCTCTCCCTTTCTCTTCTAGACATAATAAAGAGCATTGAAAAGTTTGCGGATATTCTCCTGAACATCGTGGAACTCTCGGGCAATTGTGAGCAAACTCTGTATACACATTTTTTTCCCCTCCAGGCGAATGCATACTTAAGGTCTCAGTAAATATTATATGATTATTGTATTTAGAATACATTTTCAGTGAAGTAGCCTTACTTCTGAATAAAAAATAAATTTACTGAATATTCTAAACTTATAAAATATGGCTGATTGCTTAGACAGCTGTTTTCCAGTGCAATCCTCTTGAAATTATGTTCAAAGCAGAGGAATAATTTGTCAAATTAACACTCCAAAATCTCTCTCTCAGTCTCTCGCCCACCTCCTTTGAATGACTACAAAGAAGAATTAAGGGCACTCCAAATTAAAATCGAGGCAATGAAAGAAAACGCACAAATGAAGGATGACATGGTTAAGGAGCTGCATTCTGATAAATTCCAACTGCAGCAACAAGTGGCTCACTTGGAGGAACTCCTAAAGCTACAGGCAGAGACGAAGGAGAAGAAAGTCCAACAAGTCAAATCTGGTAAAATGACTGCTATCTGTAAACTATCTGTATTCCCAGAGTGCCCGGTTTTAACACAGAGAACCTCTACCACAAAGATGCAGTAGATGTAGTATAAAGCAATTATAGTTACAGCACATAAGTGATTAAAACTGATGTGCCAAAGATATTTGTTGATATAAAAAATGAATACTTTACTGACTAATATGGAGTCCACAATCAACAATACATTAGTCTGTCTCTCTCATTATGTTCTGATTTCTACCTACTCAATTTGCATAATTCCTAGATTGTTTGCAAAATGACACACTTCAGTCAAAACATACACACTTCGTTCAAAACATACACACATATTTGTGAAAATGCTATTAGTTTTGCATTTAACCAAACACAGTCCCCAATGATCAGACACTATTTGCGCCAGTCTCACACTGCTGTCGATAAAAATAAAAAACACATTTTAAAAAAAAACTAATTTTAGAAAAGCATGTGCTAGATTTTTGGCCCAGACATTGTTATGAAGGGATAATTTGTGTCAAAAAACAATAGTGACAAACCAACACAACATTCTTCATGCATTAGTTTGGAGAATATAGGGAGGAATGACACCAAATAGGCCTCTATAAACTTACAGCACTGCACCAACACGATGCCTGCAGACGATATTTCAAGTATTTATTTCAATAGCTACAGTATTCTGTACCATAATCAGTTACGAGTAATCAAACCAACAATGAAATCTAATGAAACAAATAATCGTGCGACAAAAAAATTACTGGCATGAAGTATCATACACTTTGACTCTGAAGGAAAAACTACTGTAACAAGCAAGAATACTTAAATATTCAATCATCTCCCCCGTCTGGCTGGATCAGGACGCATAAAAGATTTAATTCCACATCACAGGCTATGTCTCATGGCAAGGCCCGTTGGAAGAAATCGCCTCGGTGACGATCCACCCCTGCACAGAAAGGCTGCTTCGTATGATCACAGGCCGCTCACATGGCTGAATGAGGGGCCAAACGCGTCATAGGGCCCCGCAAGGTTCTATACCTTCACACCGCCATGGCTGAAAAAAAAACTCTTCTATTGGATTGCAGGGAAGGGGGATATGGGAGAAGGTATAAGACTTCAAATTCAGGGTGCATCATAGGAAACCAATTCTGGACCAGAGGCCTGCCCGATGGAATGAAACATTGTCCCTAAATGACAATTGTACCGGCATCTGTCCACTTGGTTTAATGCTGTGACAATCTCGTGCAATCTGTCAAAATGCAAGTATGTAGATTTGCATTATTGGGGTCCCCCAAGATTTGCAATGGGTGGTGGAGGACCCCTTTTTGTGTAATAGCAGCGCAAATGGATTGATGTTGCCCCCCTCGTGACCCTGGGCAATTCGGTGATGCCCTGTGCCATTACATTCCCTGCTTCTCTTTTTCGCAAGTTACACATCCGACTCATCCACATATATAGAAATTTTATGTTGAATTTCTTCACCATTCATATTGCAAGACTCTCTGAAAACACAGCAAACAAGATCAATAGGATGCTATTTCAATATCTACTGGCACAGGTATTTTTTGTGAGCAGAACCATACTGAGCAAGGCCACATGAAATACCAAACTAGAAATAACAATACATACTGTAACCTCACAACTCATTGCGCAGATTGTTTTCACTCTCTCTGAAATTTCTGGTCAAATGGGTACCGAACAGGTTTCTTTCATGTATATTGATTTTTCTTGAGGATTCGACCTAATGTTGACAGAGAGACCGTTGGAGTGTTATTGAAATATGGTCATCATTGCATGTATTCTGGGATTCTCGCGTCCTAATTCATATATGGTCAGAACCATGTTCAGCAATGGCCGGCCCCTTGTGCACGGAGTGGACATAGGGCCCCTTCCAGCCTGGTGTCCTCCGAACCTCCAATCTATGTATAAAAAAATATATAACAATACACATGCACCTACTGTCAAAAATTTCACAGTAACAATATTGATGATAAGTACAGCAAGCTTCGTTTCATGTACTGTGTGTTTAGCTTACCTGTGTTCTCGATGGAAATGTCCAATGACTAGACGCAACTATTCTGCTGAGAATTTGGCTGAACTTCTTTGTCCAGCTTTTCCATCAGTGTCGTCCATGGTTTACATGTCAAATAAGTGTTGGGCACGGATTTCTTGAGGTCAATTTGGTCCTGTCTCTCTTTGTTCAGGTTCTCATCAACACTTCAAGTCCTTTCTTCTCCTCTTCCTCTACTCTGGGCCTCTTTCTACCACCTTCTTTCCTCCTTCCTTCTACCTGGGGCCTCTTCCTCTACCTCCTTCTTCTCCTCTTCCTCTACCTGGGCCTCCTCCTCTACCTCCTTCTCCTCTTCCTCTACCTCCTTCATCTCCTCTTTGAGCTCCCCCTCTCATTCTAATTCTCCCTCCTCCTCCTCCTCCTCCTCCTCTTCCTCTTCCTCCTCTTCTTCTTCTTCTTCTTCTTCTTCTTCTTCTTCACCACACCTTACACTAATCCTAAAATCTCTGCATTGGCTACCTGTGTGCTTCAGAATCTATTTTAAGATCGTTTTATTGGTTTATAAAGCTCTTAATGGTCTTATCCTACTTATTTATCAGATTTACTTTTACACTGAACCCTCTAGACCCTCACTTGGCCTTTTTTCATGGTCCTCGTCTATGGCACAACTGTTACTTCACCATTATAAACCTGTAGTTTTTTAGACTACAGTCGGTCCAGGTACAATTAAATAACGGATTAAATCTATATATGTATATTCCACAAATCCATATAGATGTGTTTTTTCTTTGTAATACAGTATAGTAAACACTCAGGCTGAGCTTGCTCTGCAAAGTACAGTTTCAGAGGTTGATCTCCAGTCAGAATGAATCATTTGCAGCCTAGCCATTCCACCATCAAAGCTTAAAACGTTTAGCTACTCTGCTTATTAGTCACTAAACTACTTCTGAAGGTTGTCTTCATAAATGTGCCTTGAATGTTAACCAAGACTTCCAATTAATGATGACAATGATGGGTAATTGTGAAGTGAACAGGTATCTCTGCAAGAAAGATATCTTCTTCCATTTATTGTTATTGTGTTTTAATAAATAGAGCAACCCTGAACCAACAATCAACAAAAGTGCTGTTGTCTGTGTGTTTCTCAGATGATAAAATGAAAGAGGATGAAAATTGTCCACTGCCACCCATGGATGGATACCCAGACTGTCTGGAGAAATTGAAGGTAACATATTTCTTTATCATTATAATAGCAACTTCGTTAAGATTCCTAAGAATATATTATCACTGATTTAATCAATTCTATTGTTGGTAGTCAGTTTCTTTGATTCAGTAACACTTTATAATACACCTAACCAATAAAATACCTACTGGTTCCTAGTGCTACTTAAATGAAGGTACAATGGAAGAAAACAATACTGGGGAACAAGGGAGTAACAATCATTTTAGACACAAAAGAGTACTGATATTTTGTAGAACCTATGAAGTAATTATAACGTACTATGATATGCTACCAAAAAGGTAGAGAAAGGTAAATCTCTCAAAAACTATGTTATTGAAGAACAAATAAAATATATGACTTACGTTAATGAAATGACCATCAATGCTTGGTACAGCAATGTAGTTCTCAGTAAGGAGGTTCGTCTAAGACTGTCCTCTGAAATGCCCAATTGTTACTCCCTGTTTGAGTATCTACAGGAACTAGTAAATATTTTAAGAACCTGATTCATACAACAAAATTACACTTTTTAAAAAGCTGAGTTTTGTGATTTATTGAACCATGTTCAGCATTGTGTTGATCATGATTATGTTGGTTCTCCAGTGGATGAAGGACATGTGGAGGAGTAACCCATGCTACAGTGATCATGGAGTGAATGGGTCTCTGTGCTCCAACCTTATCTACCTGAGTGAGGTACCACAATGATTGCAAGATCACTTACTCACTCATATCACACCCATTAAAGACCTCATCACATACAAGAAATTACAATTACATACAAAATAAATTTTAATTTTAGCAATGTGTGTGTGCTGTTGTAACTGCCCCCTCTTTCTGCCCATGTTGTGTTAAGATAGAGCACTGGTGCCCTAAGCTTCCAGGACGAGTGATCCCTTCAACTTTGGTGCAAAAATCAGAGGTAAAGACAGAGTGCAAAGAATGCGATACACTTGTGTGTATGTGTGGTATGTATTTGGGTGTGGTGTGTAACAGGTATGTATGTAGTAACCTTTGCTGGAATGATGTTTTTGTCTGTCTATAGCAGTAGAACTCGCTTTGGATATTACCACACCCATGTTTCTCACCGGGGGGCAGTACAGCTCCACAGGGGGTGTTCAGAGAACGTCTAAAACCTGCCAATTTACCATGCGACAAGTTGAGGGTCTCTGTGAGCTTTTGATAGAGCAGCTATACTGTATCATCTTCACCAACATGGCGTTGTGTCAACTCAGGCAAATGGATGCTGTCTTTCTTGTTATTCCCCAGGGAGGAAATTATGAGTTTGTTCCTCTTGAAAGCATTCATTTCCCACAAGGATACACCATATTATAGCCTAGGTTACAAATTTACAAATTTACCAAGAGGGATATTCCACTGTTGGACTTCCTGTGAAACCAACTGCATTTGTCTAACACTCATTTAATGGCATTTTTTTATTGATATGACACAGAATTATAATCAACATTATTATTTAGGGAGGACAATCACATTACATTACATTTCCTTTGATTTGGGGCAGTAAGGGACCTAGATGATGAATGAGGGAGTGTTGTACCATAAAAGATTGAGAACCACTGATTTAGATTTTAAATTCAATTTTCTTTTTTTCATTGTCCCCTGTGCTTGTCCCTCTTCAACAATAATTGTCTAACCTGATGGTCATGGTCATGTTCACTCCTGTGCTGTAAATTGCAGTAGTCTGCAATAAAGCGAAAGATTTTAAGTTGAAAATGCCTTGTTAAACTGAATGCTGATCAGGAGAGGGAATGGAGTGGCATAACTGACACAAATGGGAGAATTGACATTGGGAATGGTTTGTTGTCCTGTTCAGCTCAGATACAAAAAGCAAAGATTTAATTTAGCAGTGCTGAAGTCACTTTATTGTGAAGGGATTCTACATAAATAATGTAGAATAAGCTTTGTATTTTTTTCATATTTCCAGGAAGGGCTTGACCGTGCGGTGGTACGGGAAAATATAAAAAGTCTGTATCCATCTCTGGAAGACAGAGTCGAATTCCGTTGGATTCTCCAAAGAATTCGCAGTACGGAAAAGATTTGGGTCGAGGCTGGACACTCTCTTTCAGCCAAATACAACCTCACAGATCGGAAAGCTAAACACGTAATGTATCCCTCCCTTTTGTTTTTATTGGAATAAGTTTACTGCTATACTGCTGAAATTCATAGTAATTTTTTTGCAACAATGGGTCTTAAAATTCAACTGTAGTTAGCTAGTGTAAACTAATGCTAACACTTAAACTCTGTGAATTACTTAAAAACAATTGGAAAACTCTGTCTCCAGTTGACAGTTTTTGCTTTTTTGTCTTCAGTATGCATGTAATTTGTACACATGACAAAATGCTTAACATCTTAGGTTAAACCTACATGTCCCAGGCAAAAAAGTCAGCATTCTCACTAGCTGATGATCATTTAGAAGACATGGAAATTTGCTTCATCCCTGTAATGTAGTGTACAGCTGTAGCTGCAGTGTTAGTTCTAGTATAGAATATTAGTACTAACATAACTCTTGAATGGTACATTTTTATGCAAAAACATACTTGGACAAGCAACAGTGGTTATGTTCATGCTTCTTTGTATTTTCAACTACTTTTCTCAAACAGGTACTTTTGAAGTAGTAAAATGTAATCCTACATAATGATCTTATCTAATTACATGCCCCTTGCCTTAATAATGCTAAGTACTACTATAGATACTAAGCTAGTTAGCTGGACATGAAAAAACAAGTTTTTTGAGCCATTTGTTTTTGGAAATATTAAAAGTATTGGCTTGTGTCCTCTGTCTTCCTTATTATTTGTCATCCTAGTTGAGCATCTGACCATTTAAAAGTAAAATAAATATGAACCCACCCCCAGATACTGGTGTATCCCGCAGCAGTGATGGGTGGAATTGCAAGGGGTGCCTTCATGGGGGGGCCCCTTGGTGAACTAGTCCAGTGGAGTGACCTCATCTCCACACTTTACATTCTGGGTCACCATCTTCACCTTTCTGCCTCTATTCCAGACCTCAAGTAGTGAGTATGCACACAAGAGGGGAATTTTCTTGCAGACAGCTTTCTATCAGGGTGACTGGTGTCATTGTCTAGAAGTAAATTAGTGCAAACAAAATCATATAAATCACAGACCATAGTCTTTTGACAGATTAACAAAGTTAAAACTCATTCCATGATTTTCCCTTAATGGTTATGGTAATTGTTTCTGTATATCCATTCTTGTTTTTATTCTCACTCTATAGTTTTCTAGGTATTAAGACAAGTGACTGCCCGCCTCGTCTTTTGGTGGAACCAAACCTGATCTATACAGACATTGCTGGCCTTAAAGAGATTCAGAAAGCACTACAGACATCCTGGATCAAATACAAGTGAGTATCTAAATTGTCGTCCTGACACTATTTTAAAGTACTAACCTGTGATATATGTGACTAACCCATAATCTGTGAGTTATATATGAGTTATATTGAGTATACGCACATATGTATGTATTGTGCCTGTGGTAGGGCATTTCAACATTCAAATGCTGAATGTCATGCCATGTCATGTCATGACCATCAACATATATGTAGCCAGGTGAACATGTGTTATACAAGGGTTACACAGGGGTTTTCTCCTTAAAAAGTGTTATGTAGTTGACTTGTGGGATTAGTACTGTAGTAGCGTTCTTTTTCCCTCAAGGGGGCATTGTTATGCTATGAGTAACGTGTAAGGTAAATCGCGCTTAAGCGCATAGTTTGCCGAGACACTAGAAACAAGAAAGTGGCAGTACCAGGAGGTGACTGACGTGGTGTGTATTTTTGTTTATGTGAAAGGTAAATATCCCTATACATTTCGGTAAAATATGAACATGGTTGTAAGTGTTAGCAGATGAGATAATGATTAAGTTAGAAGACTTCTGTAGATCTGTCAATGAGTTTGTGTGAACACTGAACAGCGTGAGTAATGCTAAAGTACATGTATAAGCAGGGAGATATATGCGTGTTGAATTCCAGGTGTGTGTGTCTTGGAGCACAGGCCGCACACTGGAGTGAAAGTGAGTTAATTATATATTTCTCTGAGAATTGTTTCTGAAT